TCTCCCTCTGCCTATCAATTTTCTTTTTCTGCTCCGCTCTTCCTTGTGTTTAATACCTCTTCCTTCACTCTGCCTCTTTCCCATAGCAAGTGGGTTGTTATGGCATACGGGGATGGGGGCAGCTCGCGCTCACTTCATCAACGTGGCAAGCCTTGTACGTTAGAGGCACGGTGGAGGAGGTGCTAAGAAGACTGAGAAAGTTAATGATTTCAACGTGTCTTTGTTTTTGATTTTTATCCCTTGTTCACTGTATTTTTTTTTTGTAAAACACTGAAAGAAATAAGAAGACAGTGAACCAAAGAAAAAGAGGAAACTGTTTTGTGTCATTCTGGTTTGTCTGTCTCTTTGCATGTCTGTCCTTTCATTTTTCTTGTCTTCGCTCATCTTATTTCTTCTTCTACTTCACGTGCTTACGCTCTTAGTCAATCATTTTGTGGCCTTGTACGCAAGAGGTTCTGAACAGGGGGAGTTGTAAGAGAGAAGATAAAAAAACGAATTATTTTTTATTTTTTTTTGTTTTCTTCTTTTCTTTTCCACATTTGCGCTCTGATATTCATGCGACAATATGTTATAGTGCATCCCAATTTCTTACGATTGCTTATCAGCTTGACGCTGTTGAAAAGCAGTTGTTGTTTGACCATAATAGTCCATGTGCAGAAGGTAGTAACTATACTAACTCAGGAGGCTTTACTGTAAATGTCTTACAATTAGCGTTTCATGGTCGCCACCTTCTTATGCATCATGCGACGCCAGGCGATGACCTCAATAACCATCCTCATATTTCTGCCTGTATTTTACACAGACCCGGGCATTATATGGCACTCATTCGTGCAGCTGCCCAGTGGGAACTGTGGGATGGTGGGACGATGAGTCAGGTCATTTTCGACGTGAATGAATTTTTGCGAGCATTGTCGAATCATACTTTATTYTGGATTATTGACCGACTCTCGTGTGACACCTGTTGGGACAGAGACGCGATGCGCCTTGGCTGTGGAATGCATCATCTATGCCATAGCCATTATCAATCTTTTGCGACTGCCGTCGTCTGTTTTGAAGGGTGTCCAACATTTCCTCATTGTACACATCCCTATCACCCAGATATACGTTGTCCCTTTTGTGCCCAAGGACGTTATCAGAATTGTATGATGCCACACTGTGATGAACGTCCTGCTGTGTTTTTGACATGTGGACAACATGTCCTCTGTCAGGACTGTTTTGATGGGGTGGTTCGTGCTAGCCGTC